TCCCCCTCCCATACCCAACCCCGGCTCAGGCCTTCGGCTATAGTTACACCCATAAATACTCAGTCCCCCCAGTCGGACATCTTAGCCCCCTCCCCCATAAATTTTAACCTAGAGCCGCCACTGGACCAAAGATCTAAGGAATATCCTAACCGAAACAAATGGAAACAACCGAAGAGACAAAAAGAAAGCAGAAGGGACCATGAAGTGCACCGTTCTCCAGCAGTTTTAGGCCCTGTCTCTTATACACATCTAGATGTGTATAAGAGACAGATTGGACTATGCATCAGTGGAGATGAAATGCTGAATGTAGGTTTCGAATTGTCTGAATTATAATCAGGCTGTCGTGTGAACTTTAATCATTCCAAATAAATACAATATTGAAATTGTGACACCTAATTCGTTCTGTTGCTTGCTGATTATTCTTTCGTTATTTATCTTGTCTCATTCAAAACATATATAGGGTGAAAACATCCTATTAAGGCAAACAAACGCAGCCCGACGCGATTCATGGTCGGGGACTCTACGACGTGACTGCCCCCCCCCCCACCCCGACGCAAACCATCGCGTCTGCGTTTAACTCACACAGACCCGTCGCGAAAACAAATCGCGTCGAGCTGCGCCCTACGACGATGTCTGAGTTGGCATATAGGCAACGGCGGCCGAACGTTTTTGAAAGGGGATGGGGGAATTTCATAAGGTTCAGTATTCGACGAAGCGAGCATCTAGGTGGGGGAGGGGCGCCAAGGGCCCCCGGTGGGGTCCAGGGGCCAAAGTTCCCTGGAAGCTACGGATTGACGAAGTTTGGTAAATTTTAGGCCCCATAAAAAAATTCTTAGTTTATCACCCTATCAAAGAATAAAAACTGATGAGGGAGGGAGGCTTTTATTTTTGCTAACCCCAACCCCATTTTAACAATGTCCGCAAGTAAATCAATGGTTAGGGGAAAATATATACGAAGTTATAAGAATGGAATTAAATTTAGATTTTAAAAAAAATTTTTTTGTTGTACCTGTAAACATAATATATTTGCAAGAAATTCTGAGCTTTTCAAGTGAAAAAAAGATTGAATAACGATCGTTCGAAGGTCCTATGTTGATTGAAAAAAAAATCAGAATTTCCCTAAAAGTGATGAGGGAAGGCCAGGGGTGATAATAAAAAAAGTTTTTATGGGGCCTTATTAGTTATTTTAAAGGCATCAATCTACTGTATATATATATGTATATGAAAATTGTTGTAATTCCCCGTGGCGGATGCTGGGGGTACTTTCACGTGATGGAGGAGGATCTATACTACAAGAAAATTTGTGATTATGGCGCCTCTAGATGGCCGGAAATTGCACTTCCAGACATACAATTTGAATATAATTTTCTTCTTATCTCCATCAAAAAAAGAACAATTTAGGGGGTAGGAAGAAGCGGGCCGGCTGATCCCCTTGAATCCGCCACTCGGTACTTTTGCAGATGGAGGATCTATAACCACCTCACACCCACCATGATGAGGTAAGAAAATATGTGACTATGGCACCTCTAGATGGCCCGGAAATTCCACTCTCAGATTTAAAATTTGAATATAATTTTCTCTTTTTAAATAATAATCTCCATTTTCAAAAAAAAAAATTTAAAAAAAATTGAACAATTTAGCCCCCGCACCTTGAATCCGCCACTGATTTCCGAACAAAGTCAAAGTCGAAATTGCTTCCACGATCCAGGGGCGGATCCAGAAATGTCCAAATGGGGGGGCCGGAAGGGGGGGGGGCGAAAGTTGGGTCAATTGAGACAACACTGTCGTAGGGCTGTCTCTTATACACATCTAGATGTGTATAAGAGACAGCCTTCAAAAAAAAAAAAAAAAAAAAAATTGAACAATTTAGCCCCCGCACCTTGAATCCGCCACTGATTTCCGAACAAAGTCAAAGTCGAAATTGCTTCCACGATCTCAATGAATTATTTATCATGAAAAGGGTGGCCTTGATATGGCTATTCACCGCCGAAACCTTCACTTTTTCCCCGATGGATAAAAATTACCCTTCATTAGCCTTATAGTAGCCAGGAAATGATACTCCAACTACTATGTGCGGGTCCAGTAAGTCGAAATAGAGGGAACGCAGGGAGGGTTTTGCTAACTATAGGCTCCCCCTTGAATCTGCCTCTGTTCAATATAGCACTTGACATGGCGTATCGATTTGTTTCACAAATGGCTAATTCCTAATTTCAAGAGAAAGATTTTATTATTCGAAAGATTTTTTTATTCAATACAGTTTTTACAACCTAAAACATATTAACTACAGTGTAATGTAAATTCTCTAATTAACCTTCAGAGAACTTTACCTTAAAAAAGGGGCCTAATTAAGTATCTTATATTACGCTAGTTTGAAGGTTTACTGTAAACAATCAGTTACACTTTCATCTTCATGGTTAGCATAAATACAGCGTTGCTCCATAAGAGTACCTACCTCCATCGTATGCCTCAATACAGAAGTCACGAATTCGGGCGATTCTATTGTATTGTCTTCATGCTCGAGGGTTGGTTACAACTAAACATGGTTTCAAGGAAACTTTACAAACGCGCGTATAAATGCGTCATCAATATTTGGTTTCTCTACTCAAAAATGGAACTTTTAATGTTCGCTAGAAAAAAAAAATAAAATAAAAAGTAATAATTGATAAGGCGCAATTACACAAGGTCTCTAAGCACCAGAAATATGCCTAATAATAATGATGGTGATAACAATAATAATAATAATAATAATAATAATAATAATAATAATAATAATAATAATAATAATAATAATAATAATAATAATAATAATAATAATAATTGTCGGCTTATATAGCGCATATCGTAGAGACCTCCGTGCGTTTACATTATTACCCCCGGTTACTGGATCAAGCACATATGGAACACACACAGGCCGTACGCAGGATTTTTATTGGGTGGATGCGAATTTTTGAGATTGGATCAAAATTGGAGGGGGGGGGGTATTGGGACAGTCCCACACAATTGTTTTAATGGTCCACATTTTAAAAACGGTCCAAATTATGCAATTTCATGCATAAAATGAGTCCACTTTATGAAAAATGGGTACAGATCTCTATTATTTAGCCTAAAATGGGTAAAGTTTTAAGAAAATGAGTACAGATTTTTTATATTTGGGTAAAATGGGTCAAAATTTCAGAAACTTGGACCACATTATTTGAAATTACGTGTAAAGTGGGTCCACCCTGATATTGTCCTGCAATGTTTGAAAATCTTGGCTACGACATTGATTGAGAGTTGATAACACCATACACAGCCCCACCATGGTTGGGGCTGACGTAGGAAAATTCATGATTATGGCACCTCTAGATGGCCGGAGATGGCACTCTCAGACTTAAATTTGAATAAATTTCTTTTCTTTTTACAAATAATTTTGACAAATTAGCGGTGGTGGTAATTTTTTAATTTTCTACCCTCGAAAATGTGGACCTTTGGTAATTTGTGGGGGTGCGTGCGCATCCGACGCACCCCCTCCCCCACCTGCGTACGGGCCTGACACACTCAGGCTCCATGGAGGAATTCCTTAATGTTGCAGCTGTAGCGCAGGATGACGTGTTTGAACCTACCAGGTACCCACTTGTACTCCTGGGTGGAGAGACACAACCGTAGATAAAGTGCCTTGCCCAAGGGCACAAGCGACTTCCAGAGTTTCGAATCCTCGAGGTTAATTGAGAGGAGTCCAAGCCACAACCGATGCGCCAATCTCTTTTACGGAGGTAAAAATGTTGTCACTGGTGCTGGGAACCAGTGGCGTAACTAAGTTGTGGGGGGGGGGCCTTGACGCAAATTGACTGCATGTCAACTAAGAATTGTACCACCGATGGGTTAGAGGAGCAGTGGTATCTCCGATTATTTTTGTTTATACTATTTGACAATAAATCTTCAGAATTTTTTTTTTTAAATTGTAATTTTTAGATGACCATAAGTATTTCTACTTCTCATGAACAAAAGAAAAGGCAACTTTCATATTTTTTGAATTGGTGATTAACCATTAAACAATCAACAATTCTTGTATAGTTTTATATAAGCCTACTTAAGCTAAATAAAATGAAATGGACGTATGTATGACCATGATAATGTAATACACATATCCGATAAACATAGCAGCCACACACTTTTTAATATATATTGGTCACTTAGAAACACTTTATTTAGCGATTTTTTTTAGTAACATAGGAACAGACATTTTCAATTAAAGATGACAAAACAGGATGGAAAAACCAAATTATATTCACACACTAAATTTTACGGGACTGTTTATCTTGATTTCATTAGTGGCGTATCCAGAATTTAAAGAAGGGGATGCTGATTAAGTGAGAGTGCACACCACGTCAGCCACTATAGTTGGCGGTGAGGTGACGAACATCTTCAGTATTTTCTACCTCTGAATGCCCCGAAATGAAAATTAATCATTCTTTTTACTTTTTGACAATTGAGTTTAAAAAAAAAACCCGAATTAATTAAATGGGTGCCCGAATGGCTGACACTGACAATTCCAAAAACTACGGTACCATATTCACCTAGGCCTCAAAATGGTTGGGGATGAGGTGAGAAAATTTCAAGGATTTTAAGCTTATTGATTCCTCAAAAACAGCACTTGAACTTGAATAGTAAAAAAATCTATGATATCCACCTGAGCCCCACATTAGTACTAGGGGGTAGATGAGTACTTTTAAGAATTTGAGACTTTTAAAGGCCTATAGATGCCCGAAAATGGCACTTAAACGTTACGAAACTACCATACATCTCGGCCCACCCACATTGTTGAGGTAAGACAATCGTAAGAATTTGAGACTTTTAGATGCCGGAAATGGCACTTTATTAGAAAAAAATCTACGAAACTTACAATCCAACACAGGGATGGTTGAGACTGAGGTGAGAAAATGTTAATACTTAAAATTTTTGTCAATTATTTATTAACACTTTGTTCAACCTCTGAAGAGGATGCATACGCCACTTTTCATAATTTCGATACTAGGCTACAAACACTTGCATCACGCTATTATATTGCGATATCTCTATGTTCCATTATAAACAAATCATTAATGAATGGATGGTTCCAAACGATTGGAAAGTCTCACTGACTAAAAAGGTATAAAGGCAACAAACAACGCCCTAACAATTATAGACCATACTCAGTGGAATTCTATGTCCAAAATCAAATTATCATATCTCAATGAATATGACCTTATAAATATTAAATATATTAATATGACGGTGAAATAATAGCCACATGCTTTATTTTTTATATTATATAGCAAAGTGTTTTGACACAATAAATCATAAAAAATTTGAAAAATATGGACACCCCCTCCAGATCCACCAATTGAGAACCTATAGTTCAAGTTCTTACGCCCCAACACAACCACCCCCACCCCCTCTAGCTCCTTATCTAAATCTGCCACTGATTTTCATCTCTTATCTAAATGATTCTTTTTTTTGGTTGCTGCCGGGGGTTTGGAGGGTGGGAGTGTCTTCTCTTCCACTCTTGGGATCCGCCACTGCATGGTGTTAAATTGACAGTCATGGTGTTAAATTGACAGTAAGTTACAAGTCCAACAACCACAATATTATACCAATAGAAAATTTCCAGTTTTTATTGAATATTTAAAAAATAATTTCTCTCCCACAACTGAACTATGGAGAAAATTATGAAAATATATAAACAAAAATATATCTGGACAATCATACAACGTATGTGCAGCCTTGGTGTTGAGTTCACACTCTAACCCAATCAGATGTACTGATAAAAAGTCAAATAGATCATTCAATTAAATTCAAATCAATATAAATTTTTCAATATAAATCATACAACGTATGTGCAGCCTTGGTAATGAGTTCTCACTCTGTGTACAGATAGAAACCCAAGTAGATCATGCAGTGTATGTCGGGGGTGCCGCCAGCGGGGGGGGGGGGGAGAGGGCCCCTGGGGGAGAGGGCTCCCCTCGGGGAGAGCTGCCCAGTCGGGGAGAAAAATCACAATTCGTCGGGAAGAAAAAAAAGCCAATCAGATGTACCGATAAAAACTCAAGTAGACCATACAACGTAGTTACCATTCGATTAGCAAAAATATTTCTTTTTTTTGACAAATAATTTTACTTTTTTCAGTCGGTTACAGACATTAGAAAACTAGTGGATATAGGTCTATGCCTACAGTAACCGATAGGTTGTTAATGTAAAATAAAGGTACAGTATAAAATTCAGTAAAAAATGTCAACAAAATTAGTATACTGTATATAAAAAATATATTGAGAACTTTTCTTTAAAAACCAGTTTTCAGCATAAATATTATAAACTGAAATTTTTTAATAAACTCAACAGAGTGCTTGCTTTTCTTGCTTTCTAATTCTAAACACAAAACTATATCTCACACACATCTTTCAGACCAAGGTGATAGGTGAGAATGTTTATTTCAGAAAAGCATTCAATAACAACATTGGCGATTCAACAGGGACCAACCCACACCCCGCCCACCCCCCTATTTTTTCAAGATTATAAAAAAATGTGGGGAGAAAGAAAATTTAAGTCGAATTAGTTTGAGAGTGTCATTTTTGCCCATCTATACGGTGTCATAATCAAGCATCTCTTACCTCACCCTCCAACCATGTTGAGGGTGAGCTGGCCTGGGCCTCTATCTGTCAAAATCCCTCTCTGAGCCCCCCTCTATTTCTAACTCCTGGATCTGCCACTGAATAATTAATAAGTACAGTAAACAACAACAGTAGCAGAATCTGAATGAGAGTTGATAATTGACTTTGTTGACTACATAGTAAATATAAGTTACAAAGTCCATGTTATTTGCTTCTTGTAGCTTTCAATATTGACGCTGACTTTAAAATGTAATGTTTATTAAATAATAATACTACAACTATTATTATTAAAACCAAAATAAATGGACTGTAAATAACAGCAGTACAGTAAACCAAATTTTTTTACACTTTGGTATTCAGTATATTTTTGAATATTATACAATTCAGAGACACTTGAATGGAAAACAATAAATATTTTTATGAATTGCATTGAGTCACATCTTTGTGGTAAAGAATAATATTGTGAAGAAAAAAGGCAACATCCTATGGTCACTCTTGATTAAATTTGTTCTGTGAACCATCATTTGTTGCTTTATTTCTCACAAGTAATTCATTAACCACTATATTTGCACAACCGGTAATAGAGGTAGAGCTGCCACAAATATCCTGATAATTGCCTTTAAGGGTAGAAGTTGAATCTACATTTACACTAGTGTTCAGAATTTCATTGTGTTTTTCGAGAGACTGATGTGAAACAGTGCATTCTGTAGTCTGACTTTGGTTCTGGTTATTAGAGCGAGATGGCAAAACTCCCAAATGCATATATGTCTTATACTCCTCACCACTTAGAATTATATTTGCTGCTGTATTCTGCAGACGTCGGCTTGTTGTATTTTCTGAAAGAGTTGTGGCATTAGTAGCAACAACAGGACTTGGAGAAGGTAATACCAAAGATGGTGCAGTTTTAACACTTGACAGATTAGATGGATTATTAGTCACAGCAGGTGGCTTTTGAGTCATCAATGTTGATCCCAAGGCAGAACCATTCAACTGTGGCTTATTTACCATAGAAATTGCAGCTTTAGGTGTCGGGGTCTTTAAAGATAAAGGAGTGCTTTGATTGCTCAAGAGACTTGAAGAAAGAATGTTTTTTTTAACTGGTGCTTTCTGTTGGACTAAATTCAATGCTCGTAAAGTTCCATCTGCCATTTTGACAAGGCAGATCTTTCCTTGATTTGTTGCAACAATCTGTTGATGAACAACTTTAGTATTGGCAACAGTGGTTGGTAACTTGAAAGCATTTGGTGAAATGCTGGACTGACTTTTGGTGAACATAACAGCATTCTCTGTGCTGGGTGTAGCATCACCACTACCAGGACTTCCAGATGTTTTTAAAACAATCAAATTTCTTTGGGCAGTGTTTTGAGGGTTGGCATTAACTTGTTGGTTAATCAATGTGGCATTACTGTGCTTCAATTTTGACTGCTGTTGAAGCTTCTGCAAATAATCCAAGGAGACTACAACCTCCTGGTTGGCTTTGTTCATGTTTGAAGTGCTTGTTGCATGATTTTGTATCTTAAGTAGATTACCATCACCTATTGTTTTCACCCCGGATGATGGAATCGATGTGCATATTGCATTAGGTATGAATACAGCTCCTTTTGATTCATTTGGAAGCTGTTGGACCTTCTTCACAAGTTCCACATAACCAGCGGAATTACTGTTAGGTTTTTTCTGGAGTAGCTTGGCTGCTTGGCTGATTAACTCTGAACTAAGGAGGGGCCGTACATTGGTCTTTAATCCTGAAGGTTGTGTCATGTTTGCCACAGTAGAAACCTTAGTAATGTGTTTAACATTTGATTGAGAGACTTCAACCTGTGATGTACTAAGTGTTGGTGCTTTGGAAGTAGCCTGTTGCAGTAAGATAAGCTGTTGCAACCACTGCTGTGCTAACATATTTTCTTTTTTTTTCTTTGCTTCATTAACCTTGTTTTCTTTAATCTGTGCTTCTGTTAGTTGCAACTTCTCTTTTGATGGAGTACATATCCTCTCTGCTGGTGTGACTTGACCACTAGTACTATGAAGTATATTTAGACTCGTACCGACAGATGGGCTGCTTGATGTGCTGCACAATGTTGGAATGTTTTTAACAGCTGACAGTTTTGACATCAGGATTTCTTTCTGAGCACCTTCGCCAGGTTCTCTGGACATAGTTGGTAAATCTTGAGTTTGCCTTGCTTTTTTTTGACTGTCTATTGTTGTTTGTAACAAAAACACAGGTGGCTGTCCAAATGTAGGTTGTTTTGACACAGATGGCACCCCAAATGCTTCTGGTGGAATACTCAATAGACCTGATTTTGGAATAGGTAATTTTTTAGTACCTCCAATTGCATCATGATTTATTTCCTGAGATGAGAGTGTTGTTTTTAGTTTCTGGTCCCTTTGACCTGATAATTTATGTGTCTGTTGAAGTAAATATTTCAACACTACCTCTTTTTGCCTCTGAGGATCATTCTGAATCTCCTTCCAAACTGCATCATCAACAACTATTGTACATTCTGGCAGAGCTGCTAATTGTGTTTTAACAAGATTTTTCTCTGATTGAGTCTTCTCTGGAATGCTCATTGTTGAATTCATGGAATGATTTCCTTGTGGTTGATCGCATGCAGCAGCAATTTGTTGCTGCAAAGTTTGATGAATATTATTTAAGGTGACAGATGTCAGTGATCTTTGACTTGCTGCAAGATTTCCAACAGGGAATGAACCTAGTATTGGATTTTCAGGATTATATGTCGTAATGTTAACTGGACTCAAACATTTCTTTTTTGCTTCAGTATGATCCTCATTACCACCTAGTTTGGCTTTTTTTTTAGCTTCAATTAACTTCCTTTTTTTGGATATTTTTTGCGCTCTAGTACTAATACCTAAAAATGGTTCAATGGTCTCCATTGCTTCTTCCTCATCAACTGGTTTCTCTTCTTGCTCCTCTTCATTTTTATTTTCTTCCTCTTTGTCATCTGATTCGCTGCTGTCTGAATCAGATGTAGAAGATGATCCTGATGATGATTCACACTCCCAACTATCGCTCTCCTAAAAAAAATTAGAAGAAAAACTTAAAGGTACCGAACACAAGCAAATCACTGAATAAAGGAAAAATGTCAGTCATGGTCAAAATATAGCTTTCTTGTTCTTGGAAAAATGTGGGAAAACACCCTTACTTTTTTTGTTTGTGACTTACTGTATATACAGTAGCACAAAACATCATTTGATTCCACCAATTTTTCTCTGTGGAGAAACAATGTGTCCATTTTTCTTGCAGTGCTATGCTGAATAGATTTTGTTAGTCCACTTTTTTGCCGCACATGCCCACTGCTTTGTCAGTACATATGCAAGTAAATATTGGTATCATTAAATATCTTGGGTAGTTGTTTTTGTTATTTTTAAATAATAATAATAATAAATTTTTTTTTTATTAGTCCTCATTCAAATTGGAAATCGAAAATCAGAAATTTGGGCTGGGCCATGGGTACCTGCGACAGCCGCAGTGCAGAGCCACCCAACATAACTACAGCATATAACGGACATTGTCCATAAGCCGCCTAACTCTCAATTATGAGGGCTATTCTAGGATTCGAGCGATCATACTCAAATTGAAACTCAACATTGGCTGGGTTTGGACCGGGGTCTTCAGCAAAAGAAGCAGTCAACAGCAGCTGAGATCACTACACATAAGGTGGTCTTGAAGACTGAAGTATTAAAGCCCAGTATTTGTTTCTCTTCACCAAGGAGTATGGTTAGCTGGTAGGATATGAATATGTTAATGGGAATACTCTTGTCTAGAGTAGCAATACTCCCTGAAAATGAAGGAGATACATACTGTATGGTGCATGGCAGTTGATGTCCAATGTAAAATACCCAAGAGTAATATTCAAAGTGCTGGTAAAATCTAGGAAATATGGCAGTATATTATACAGTATAAGAATTCACTATTATTTATGAACTTACATCTTGGCTATCTTGGAAGTTATTAAATTCCTTCCGGAGACGTTCTTTAACTCTAACAACAGCATTACAGAGTTTTGATTCATGGGGGGCCAATTCCATCAGTAAACGGGTGAGAGTTTCATGAAGTTCGACTTCAGATTCTGTGCGTGCTGGAGGTTTGATGATCTGCAAGATAATCATTTCCTTGTATTACTTGACAGTTATATTATAAAGTATCTACTAAATATCAAAACCACTAAGGAGAATAGAAGTTCTGTTGTTCATCATTTTAAATGTCCAGGTTGTAATAGTAGGGAGCCTTCGATTGCACGATGACAGTAGGACGTAGAACGTAATGACGTCGCTAGAAGTCATCTGCACATGCAAGAACGTTAAGGTCACCTCGTCGAGTAGATTCTGGAACGCAATTTGGCCAAATCTATGTATGCAGAGAACGTAGAACGCCAGGTAGGACAGTCACGCATGAGTAATTCCGATCTAGCGTCACGTCGTCACACAAATCAAAAACTCCCTATTGATTATATTGGTAAGACAGATAGATGCAGTATTAATAACTGGACGATATGATAGTGTTATATTTGATCATGTACAAAATTGTGAGGCATTCCATGTTTTAGGCTTACTGTAATGCTTCTGTAATGCAAGTAATAAATTAGGTTTAATATTTTATAATGCAGTACTAACATTATTGACATTTCCCCAAAACTGGTTTATCCTATTGTTTAAAGAAGCGTTTGCTATACGTAGCCTACAGTACACCTACTGGCGTGTACTGTATATAATACTTGGAGTATGTATTATACATATTATTTGAGGTAATGATGTTTTATATGTGCATTTTGGTGCAGTGGAAATGGTTTGGTTTCCCTACCTCGAGGTCGGGGTTTCAATCCTTTGCTGTGCATTTCGCTTTTGTCCTTGAGCAAAGCACTTTATCTACACTACTTCAGACTACCCAGCTATATCAATAGATAATAGTAAATTGCTGCGAGTAACCGGCAGTGAACCAGCATCCCACCCAGGGGGAAGTACAGTATTACTCTCTCATCCGCTATACAAACTGGGGATAAGCTCCATGTACAAGTTAAAAAATGCAGTTCACTCTTCGGAAGAGAAGGGGATTGTCTCCCAGTGTACTGCCCAATTCACCACCAGAAGGATCCCACTGGAAATCTTAGGACTTTCGTGGGTTATCCTTGGTGTGTATCACACCAGAGAAATCCAACCCAATCCAATCCATATATTTTTTTTTAACTATTTAATGCTATAAACTAAATTTTTGATAGATTTGATATTTTTATTAATCTTATTTTTTATTGAGTTATTAAATGCATTGTTTCTTTTCATTGTACATAAATTACCGATTGATGATTCATATATTATTAATTGTATAGTACTCTATCTTTTTATATTTCTGTATAGCTTTGTGTTTTTTTTACACGAGAGCCCCATGGTCATCAGCATACCACTGCTTTGGGTCACCCCTGTAAATAAATTTGAATATAAAAGACTATGATTGAATGTATCTAAACTACTAATATCTCAGTTCAATGGATACCGACAGGAATAAAACCATATTTTTTTTAGATTATACAAGTACAGTATAAAAATATTTATTCAACTAAAATTGTGTACTGTCTTATACATCTTTTACACTGCAAGCAAAATTCCGGAGGTAACCCGGGATTTTCCAATACCCGGGTTAAAACCTCCCGAGTTGTGGTTAGTGTAAACGTCAAAAGTCCTACTCGGGTTGCCAAACATTCTGGGAGGGACGTGCGGGACGCATTCAGCGTAGGACAACCCGGGTGCATTCCGGAGTCGCCAGTGTAAACAGCACCGAATTTGATTCCGGAATTAGGCCTTACCTGGTGCCTACCGCAGCTGTGGTCAGGTAGGCCTAAACTTTGCCTACAACGGGCCTAGACACTTGTCAAATTAAATCCTCTACGCTCCGATATAGACTTGATATCAAAACTGTTGATTTAATTCGCATAATTTAAAAACAATCTGCAGGTACATTGCTTTAATAATTGACAATAACTGTGGCTTCGTGACGATGAGGAACTCGAGCGAAGTGATGATCACCATCGCAACAAAAACTGAGGGCGGTATTTGAACCCGAGTTCGTTGCCAGTGTAAAATGGGAGCAACTCGGGATCAACCCGGACTTTTTCGTTCGATGTAAATGGGAAATGCACCCTGGATTACTCCGGAAGTAACCCGGGTCGATTTGCCTTTGGCAGTGTAAAAGGGGTATTAGTAAATTCAAATCAAATACATATACTGTACAGTAGACATTTTCAAAAACACATTATCAAGTATTCCCAGAGATTAAAACAAGCAATTTATAACGTTGCAAAAGTGTGCAAGAAATTCACATGATACAATATTGCACATTATAAAGTCAATAAAACTTCAAAACAACTCTTTCATCCAATAACCCTTATCCTGTATCGTCCAAAACTGAAGACAGGAATGCCTACACAGTTGTTGCTATATTACATACCTTTTTTCTTCTACCCTTGGTGACCTCAACTGGTTCACGCTCTGCAAATTCTTCCACTAAAGACTTAAGTGAATCAATACTGTCACAAACTAACGTAAAAGCTGCTCTATCTGGTTCCACATTAGGCAATATCAGCTTTGGTTTCACATGTTCTTCTTTAGAATTTGACTCTATGTTTTCTAAGCAATTTTCATCTTTTTCATTTTCTCTGCTCTTGACCTTCTCCTCCCTCATCCAGTCCACCATTCTTGATTCCTTATTAATTTTTCCCTCCTTTTCATGTCCTTTTTCTATCACACCAGAATCCTTATCATTATCTTCGTCTTTGAATTTCATATCAAATTTACTGGACTCATTCGCTGGTGTTTTAGGTTCTTTCAGATTTGTATTTGATACAAGATTTTCTGTTTTTATATCGATTTGTCCATTAAGTTTTTGATTTTCCATCATTTTTCTTATTGCAGGTTTGTCATCATATTTAAGATCTTCTGTTAAAGAGCCTGATGGTTGTACTGAGTTTGAATTATTATGATTTTTGTCCTCATTGTTTATATTAGATTTCGATTCTACCTGGTCAGCAGGAATATCTGTTGATTCTTCTCTTGAACTGAGATCAGACACCTCTAACTTACATCCCATTTTAACACAATTTTCCTGTTCAATGTTCTCTTTATTTTTTATATGATCGTCTTCTGAACTGAGTTTCAAATTATCACTTTGGGATTTTGAATTGGACAGGTTATTTAAGTGATTACAATTGGAGACTGTACTTTGAACACTGACAGTACTTAATTCCTGGGAAGACTTGCTGGTTCTGGTACTTCTTCTCCCACCACGAACTAAACTGTTTATTGTTGGGGTCAATTTCTGAAAAGTTTTTTTTAAATAAAAAAATTATTAACATTAAACCAAAATATACAAAAATATAATTTAAAAATTAATATGACAACAGTTTCAAAGTTAAAACAAGTCCAGTAGAAATGTAACTTGGGTGCTTATGATGCTAGCTTTCTAATCCTGTTGTCCTGGGTTAAAATCCTTCCACAGCAGAATTTTTTTCCCAAGCTTCATAAAGAGAGTTTATAGATCACCACTTCCATTTTGTAAGTTGCAAGTCACTCACTGTAGGATGAGAATGGAATTTTAAAAATACAGGTTTGCTAAAAAAAATAAATAAATAAGAAAGCTATACCTGTCGTAGATTACTTGGCCTTTTTCTTGGTTCTGGAGTTAGTTCAACATCTTTATCCTTGTCTTTGTTCTGTTTTCCATTTGAGGTGAAGCATTCTTCACTTTCACTATCCATCTTAAATAATAATTTCCTAAATATTACTGATTATTTATAAACATGTTTTACTAAAGCACAATAAATATTTAATAATATAACAATAAAAAAAAATAATATTAATAATAAATGAAAACAATAATGACACATGCAAAATGCACAGCAAGATGTTTAAACCCCAAACCTTACAGCTGACAGCCAAAATTGCAAATAGTGTGCTTCACAGCTTTAACACCAGATACACTGTATGATCTCATAGCCACCTATAATCTGCTGACATGTGACCTTTCCAATCACAGCTGTCACATGGCAATGTAAAGGCTAACAATTATCTTGTAGAATGAAGCTGTCATAATAAATAGATAGACAACTCAAATGAATACCAGCTCTATACAATTTAATATTATTACTTAAAATGAAATGTTCACATCATCATAATCAACCATTGTTAGAAAACAGAATTTGGTAGTTTTCTTACCTTGACTGGTTCGTCTGGCTCGTCAACTTCAATATACCTGAGTTCTGGCTCTGGAAAAGGCGCTTGTTTATATATCCTGAGATCGTAGCCACAGAATTGTGGAAAATGTACATAAGTATTGCCATCTGAATCCTCTCCAAGCACGATTGCACGTTGATCCATAATTGGTTGTAGATCTAAACATTGTCTTAAAGGGAACTGCATCTCCTATATAAAAAAAAAACACTTCAAATTATTTTAACTATATTGCTTGTACAACCGTTGAATCCAACGACGCTCTCTGTGAGTGTAATGCATTGAACGACGTTTGTACAACCGTCGAATCCAACGACGCTCTCTGTGAGTGTAATGCATTGAACGACGTTTGTACAACCGTCGAATCCAACGACGCTCTCTGTGAGTGTAATGCATTGAACGACGTTTGTACAACCGTCGAATCCAACGACGCTCTCTGTGAGTGTAATGCATTGAACGACGTTTGTACAACCGTCGAATCCAACGACGCTCTCTGTGAGTGTAATGCATTGAACGACGTTTGTACAACCGTCGAATCCAACGACGCTCTCTGTGAGTGTAATGCATTGAACGACGTTTGTACAACCGTCGAATCCAACGACGCTCTCTGTGAGTGTAATGCATTGAACGACGTTTGTACAACCGTCGAATCCAACGACGCTCTCTGTGAGTGTAATGCATTGAACGACGTTTGTACAACCGTCGAATCCAACGACGCTCTCTGTGAGTGTAATGCATTGAACGACGTTTGTACAACCGTCGAATCCAACGACGCTCTCTGTGAGTGTAATGCATTGAACGACGTTTGTACAACCGTCGAATCCAACGACGCTCTCTGTGAGTGTAATGCATTGAACGACGTTTGTACAACCGTCGAATCCAACGACGCTCTCTGTGAGTGTAATGCATTGAACGACGTTTGTACAACCGTCGAATCCAACGACGCTCTCTGTGAGTGTAATGCATTGAACGACGTTTGTACAACCGTCGAATCCAACGACGCTCTCTGTGAGTGCTATGCATTGAACAACGGTTGTACAACTGTCGAATCCAACGACGCTCTCTGTGAGTGCAATGTATTGACTTACCCACTGTGTGTCCTGCCAGCTCTCGACAACCTGGTACCACTTTTGCACTTTTTCTTTTAGCTTTCTTTGCCAGACTTTATAGGGCATTGCCATCCCCATGTTCTTACTTATTTCCCTATCATAAATATTGGTAGAAAGATGTAAGTTGAATATAAATTGTGCACTAAAATAGTGTCTCTCCAATCAAGAACTCTTAACTATACCAGGATAGGAAGCTTGCTGATCTCGCACTGCAGAACTGATATTGAGTTTGGTGTCTTTAGGTTAAGTTCTGCACATGCTCAGAAGTACACAAGGAAAGTATGATGGGATAAATCGTATCTCTCCTGTGTTAAACAAGGTGGGTCTTAAAAATTATAGCATATTAGCACTTGTGAGCAATATATTTTCATTTTATATAAGTAAGTAGTAAATATATGGATTATTTTAAAGCACTGGATAATTCTAGATGTTTCATGCTCTCTTTTGCATACTTTATACACCGAAAACACTTTGGGATGTGTGGCAGATGTCCTGTGAGCTTCCTACACCATCTTCAACAGTAGGCCTATATTACATCAATTTATAATCCACTTAATGAAAATGTTTTCTTTATTTAAGTTCAAATGCGAGATTAGTGAGCTTCCTATACTGGTACAGTTTAAAAATCTAAGGCAATATAATGAGACCACAAATATTTTGTCGAGTTCCCAAGCACAGCAAGATTTGGAAATCAAGGTCGGCCAGTCAGTCAGTCAACCAGCAGTTCCAGTCATCACTAACAATGTCATTTAAATGGCATACGTATTACTTAATTAGGGAAATATATGTTTCAGCAAACACCAATATTACCTTTTTCTTTGTGTTGGTGAACTGAGCAAACAGGTAAAAACCTGAGCAAGTAATTTACTTTCCCGAGGCATCAAGAAGCATCTCTCCAGTTCGAAGTAAGATATCTCATTTAAGGCAAGAGTTTCTTGGAATAACAATAGGAATTGACCAATAGCAGGAATCTATCAGAAGAAAGATTTAAAATCATCATCCATTTACTGTATAAATCTTTTATTATCTATATAACTGGCTTTAATGTAAATGTTATAATAAGGATAACAATTTTTTTTAATTGATTTTTTTTAAGTAGTTGTGTTAGAGTAGTAGTTGTATACCTAGAGTTTCATACAGTATCATCAAAGCACACATTGACAATAGTTGCTCACAAAGACCTTTCATTTCCACAGGAATTTCAGGGTGATTTGCATTATATATAAATATAATAATATATTTATCATAAAAAGAATAATTTCTGTATCATAAAAAATGAGTTCAAACTGCTTAACTTACTTCCCACATTGCATTTAAATGGTCCTGGTTTGGTTGCTGAAGCAAGTCCCTCTCCCACTCATCTAATTCTTTACGGTATTGCAGTAATTCTTCTTGTCTCTCCTGCTGCTGCCTCTTCTTCTCTTCTGCCTGAGCAAGTAGGATTTCAGACTGTATACAGTTGGAAAGTGGAGTTGTGGCTCCACCTGAATGTAATCTTCCACCTGCCCGTCGACGCCCTGTAGTGAGTAACATAATGTACCATGTCTTTTACGAGGTAATTAACTTCTTTGATCTTCTATTTGATACTTCTGAGTCAATAAAGTCAACATAAACAGTACTGAACGAACTGTATCTCTATATTAGTACATATACTGAAAATTAAAATTAATACTCATTGTACATACCAGTAAGTGAGGTAGTTGCTGTGACAGGAGGTTCACCATATTTTCCATCAGATGTCACATATAAGGTTGTCTGGACTTGAAGGAGTCTGTAAAAAACATTCATTGATTTCACAAAACTAAATATGATATTAAAAAAAGCATGGACAACTGAACAAATGGTAACATAATGTAGTAATTAAAACTATAGAGGGCTCACAAAAAGTTACAGTATGACCCTTGCATTGTGTATAATGCGTACCTTGGTAGTAGCGACAATTTTGTCTCAAGAACCTGCTCAATTTTCATGGCTTGTTTAGAGACATAATGATCAAGACCGTTATAACGATAACAGTTCTCCAACATAAGTCGAATGTCACGGATCACCTGAGTGATGTTTGAATATTCTTCATTATTAAATTTGTCTTCAACTGCAAAGGAAATCAAAATAAAATGGCAGAATGTTTAAAAAGAATTAATTTTTTTAAATGTTTTGAAATTTAAAAAAAACAAACTTATAATTACTTAAACTAAATTAACAAGAGCGACCGTTCACCGGTCTGCGCGTTGAACTGAGGTTACCTCTAATCAGCGTTTAACGATTCGTGTATGCACCATTCAGACGAGGCTTTTTGTTGACACTATTAAAACATGTTTAAATCATGGACGAAATATCCTCCATGATTACAGTACAGAACACAGTGCCATAAGCTATTACAGTATATTGGGTTTTTGGAAAAGGTTCATAAAAAAAATAAATTGAAAAAAATAAAATAAAATAACATGTCTCAAAATTGGAAAAAAAAAACTTAATACCAAGACGCGACAATGAACATTTGTTGGAAATTGCCTATAGTTTATGTGTATAAAATTTCCTGCACGTCCGTTCAAAAACTGGCGACGCTGGACACTTTTAAAGTTCTGGTAACAAACAGCAACAACAAGAGCAGCAGTGAGGTTCTGGGGTCCACCTTATGCAGACCCAAAAACGAAACATTTACAGTAATTAGTATTTTCATGAAATTCTAAAATACAAAGTACAGTATTTTATAATCAGGCAATTAATGCACTAAATTCTGGGGAAACATTTTATTACAAAACTGTGAGATACTGTAGCTGACTGTTACCTTATACTGTGACTAGGTAAAGTTACTGCAGGAATCAATTAAAACAATGGTTTTATTAATATTATACTACTATTGACACTTACTTTTACTCAACCACATTGGTTCTTTAATACGATCATGATAATCCCAGAGATTTAGCGCTTCCACATCAACCTCATCCATAAAGGCATAGTTCGCTCTGTCGGACATGATTTGCATCACTATCCTATGAGCTGCCTTTAAATCAGGATTTGATATCAATATTTTTTTGACAACCCTCTGAGGCTCTTTGGTTAAAGGTCTGCTTACTGGAGTTTTCTTTTCAGATGGTTCAATTGGAGCAGGTTTTGTGTGCATTCCATCATTATCTGACTGGGAATTTGAGAGTTTCTGGTCTGTGATGACATAGTCTTCTATTGAATTGCTGTTACTGGAGTGGTCAGACTTCAAATCATCTTTGACATCATGGATATTGGTAGAAGATCTAGAAGCTTTATTGCTTGTATACTGTTCATCATTCGTTAATGTTCTTAACATGCTCTTAATAAAAATTGTCTTATCAGAGACATCCTCATAATGGTGTCCACTTGAACATGGAAAACTTCTGCCAAGTTCTGCTCGTTCTTCCATCATTTAATGTGTGAAGAAATTCACAAAATTACATCACAAAGTTCTACAAACAACATAAAAGAATAGAATGGTTATATGCAACATTTTTGCCAACAAATATGAAATCTATCAGCTATCAACATTGACCCTTTAGCTTTATTGAGTATAACTTCAATTTTGTATCTCACTTTGTCACTTGAACTTGAGAATGTCTGCAAGAAGGAGTCAAAATGTTGTTCCTTTTTTATTTTTCTACAATAATGAAATATGAATTGTCAGCGAAATTTGAAACTACTACTATACTACTACTACTATAAAAGTCATGGTATAATAAGAAAAATAAAATTAATTATATTGTCATGATTGGGATTTAACATAATGTTCAGTGCTGAAGGTGTTTACTAAATTAATATACTGTATTACTTGTCAACCAGTAAAATCTAGGGGTATTATTAATATTAAAAGAATAACTAATAAAAGAAACAAAATGAATCTTTCTTATTTCCACTTCCACTTCTTCCTTGGGCTAGCCAAAATTACTTTTCAGATCGAAATATTTTCCACAGAAAAATTATTGCTTTTTGTAAAATACTATTTTTTTCACACAGCTCAAAAATTTATGCTGTGAATACCTGATTTGAAACTAGGAAATTATTTTGCATAAATAAAATTAAAAGTACCTCTACCTTACCTACAGTATTGGATTGGATTGGATTTATTCGGTGTAAACACCAAGGATAGCCCACGAAAGTCTAAAAGAAGACTTATTTCCAGCGGGATCTTTCTGGTGACCGAAAGGTCCACTGATTAATCTCAGATAAGAAAGTATAATACATACTCCAAGTATTGAAATACACGCCATCGTGTTGGGATTCAATATTTCGACATTAATTATGTCATCATCAGGAATGACATAATTAATGATGATGACATAATTAATGTC